TCAATTTAGTCGAAATTAGCGTCATTTGAATCAAGGCACTTTTGCCAATGTAACCCAAGTCAATTAATGCCGTCAGCATGAAAACTATGTGCTCGGGATTTGATGAAGCCAACGGAAGCCGTTTTTACCTGATCCTGAATTGCAAACAAAAGTTGTACTGGTGAGAAAGTTAGGGAAGTATGGTGAATGAAGCAGAACTTCGACGCTCAATTCGTTTAATTCTCAGACAGTGATTTGTGAAACGTGCGGACGGATCCACTGTTCATCACACGTGACTATCCGACCCAAAAACGGATTGTTTTGGTTGCGCAAAAGCAAAGAAGAACAGACTTCGAAACGTGACAATTTCAGTCGATCATTCAAATCGTGGGGCACCCACTTTTCGAGCGTTTTGACCTTTCCAGTACATTTTAAACCATCAGAACCCGCACGGGAGCTGACGCTCAGTTCTTCCGCCATCTCACGCATCGTTTGTGGTGGGTCAGTCTCTACCAGGGTCCTTGAATCCTTGTCCAAGATTAATGTAGGTTAACTACTTCGAGGCAAAATTCTCCCTAACGAAATTTCGCAAACCAACGTTGTTCATTAACACCATCATTGCCAAATGCCTGGGTAATTTTGCGAGCTGTTTCTGCAGTGATTTGGTTTAATTTGAATTCGTATAGAAAAATTGGCCGAAAATCACTTAACGACAGTAATCACTTGACGACATTAATGAGCTGAAAATAGGCAATAAATTAAATTTTGGAAAAAATGAACAGCATAAATATATAGAGTACAAAATCCTCTAACGATCGATATACACCACGATGCAGTAGAATTAATGAATATTGAGATATGGAGCCACAAAAACACATGACATTTAAACGGACAAAACTTTTGAATTAGATGAATATTACTGAAGTTTTTTCCCAACACCAAATTCATAATATTCATTACTACACCAAAGGTTCCAAACACTGCATCAAAATCTGATAGATAATACAGTCCTATCTTTATCTTATTAATATCTTATTTTTGTTCTTGTAGATGAAACTGAAATAAGGCCGATGGTGAAAAAACAGTCATCTTCTATTTAGTCTTGCATATACAGGATGTTTCAAATTCAATCCTCACCATTGGGATCTCGGAAACTATGAGAAATACGAAGATGGTTTAATTGGAGCGAAGCTACGCATCAATCTGACTAACAATACGCCGTTGAGAAAGTTCTGAAATTCCGAGTATATACGGAGATACGCGTATCCGGAAAAAAACACTGGCTTTTCGAACAAACCAAACTCGGTGAAATATGGCTTTCACGAATGAAGAAAAAAGAGATATGATGAAAATGTATTACAAATAGGATAGAAACAGTATTAGAACATCGGAAATGTATTTAAACTTGTATACCGAAAGACGACAACCACATCGAACTATATTCAAGTTATTGGATCAAAATCTCACCGAGTTTGGTTCATTTGAAAAGCCGAAGAAAAAATACGGAGACAGAATCAACAATCAAAATTTGATAAATGAGGTGTTTATGAGTATTCAATGAAAATAGAACTTTGAACAAATAATAATGATTAAATGAAATGTAAAGACAAAAGTAAATAATAGCAAATGCTCAAAATGCTGGCCTTGTTCATAAGAATACAGCTGTGCTCTTCTTCGAATATTATTCTCTGCAGATTAATTTCCCTCCTCCTCAATCTTCCGAACTCTCTAACAATGCTATGTTGAAGGTCCTCAATATTTTGATATTTCCTCCGACCATAAACTCTATTTTTCAGTGTACCCCATAAGAATGTATCCATAACACTTGAGCCTGAAGACCTTGCTGGTCACCTCACCGGCTCATTACTCCCTATCCATTTGTCACCAAACCTTTCGGTCAGGTGATTAGATACTCGACTGGTAGTGTGCGGTGGAGCACCATCATGTTGGAACCAGATGTTGTTATAGTTAGCCAAAGGTAGATCATCCAAATTATCGACATTAAAAACTGGTGTTAGGTTTCTCCATTCAGAATTCCGTCAAATAAATGAGGACCCAAAATTCTATCTTTGTAAATTTCTGCCCACACGTTAATACTGAATCGCACTTGAGGTCGAATTTCTCGGAACTGCCTGGAGTTGTTTATGCTCCAAATGTGTTTGTAATTTCGGTTGAATATCCCACAATTCGTAAAAGTGCTCTCATCTGTCCAAATTACATTTTCCAGGAAAACAGGTAAATCAGTTCCTCTTACTAGCCAATTTCAAAATTATAATCGCCTTTCGGGATCACCAGGATGTCATTTTTTGAGATATGTGTATTTTGTAATATTTCAAACCGCTTTTTTGAGATGTATCCAAGCACTTATATGACAAATATTCATTTCGGAGGAAATTTGACGTGTAGATTTCCCCGGGTTCATATTTATCTGCAAATTATTAATTTTTATTGAAAAGGACACAATGTCCAACTTATCTCATACATACCTCAATTACCAATTTTTTTTTAGTTTCGTGGTCCATTATGTCTCCGTATTTTTTCCATAGCTCTCCAAATGAACCATTTATCCAATAACTTGAATATAGCTCGATGTGGTTGTCGTCTTTTGGGATATAAGTTCAAATACATTTCCGATGTCCTAACACTGTTTCTATCGTATTTGTAATAAATTTGTATCATATCTCTATTTCCTTTATTTGTGAAAGCCACTTTTCGCCAAAAATTCAATGACTTGTACAATAACAAAATGTTATTGAGTGTAACGAATTGAAAGTCAAATTTAGAAACATCAAAGTGTAAGCCTATTATGATAAGAATTATTTTTTTTCAATATCTTCAATTTTCCGAAAAAGAATGATAACTCATGATACATCATTGAAAAGGTGAAATCTGGTTCTATTCAAAACAGAAAGAATTCAATGTGGCGCCCATAAGAAAAAATAAATGATGGTGGCCGAAAGACGAAACGTCGGATAGCATATCTGAAAACACTATTATGTAGCAGGAAAAAAGTGACAATGTGGAAGTGCAATTCATTTTCAAATCCTTCGAAAAATAAAGCCAGAAAGAAATAGAAACAATTTTCCGAAATTTCTATTTTTTCCGGATATCTCCGGATATACTTGGATTTTCAGAGCTTTTCCAACGACATATTGTTAGTCAGGTGAATGCGCAACTTTGCCTCAATGCAACCATCTACGTATCTTTCATATTTTCCGAGATCCCAATGGTGAGAATCGAATTTGAAACATCTAAAAGCTCATTTTGCAGCATATCCCCCAAAATGTCAATTCATATCTCAAGTGCGAATCAATAATGGAGTGATACGCTTTTTTCGAGTCGGTTTCCCTAACTCATTTGAGACCATTCGAAGGGCATAACAATTCGAGGATAGTTTTCTATTTGAATTACTCACATGCACCTCAAATTTCAGATCTCTGCCTATGTTAATATCTAAAAACCTGGTTTTGTTTTCCACTGCATTATTTCCCAGCATCAGTTCCGGAATAGTGCACATAAATGATATGTTTGTCTTCTTTATATTGATGTAGATGAGACAGAAATAAGGTCGATAGTGAAAAAACAGTCATCTCCTATTTTGCCTTGCATATATATCTAACAGTTTATTTTGCAGCATACCTCCCAAAATATCAATTCATATCTCAAGTGCCAATCAATAATGGATGCTGGTTACCCTAACTCGTTTGAGACCATTCGAAGGGCATAAAAATTCGATGATAGTTTTCTATTTAAATTTCTCACATGCACCTCAAATTTGACGTCTCTGCCTATGTTTATATCTAAAAACTTATTTTTGTTTCCACTGCATCATTTCCCAGCATCAGTGCCAGAATGGTGCACTCAAATGATATGTTTGTCTTCTTCATATTGATAACAAAAGATTTAAATCTAGTCATATTTTTATTTTATCTAGATTTCTGCAGACATTTTCATGGAGATCTCTCTAGTTTTTATTATGCCACAACAAAGTGGTGTCATCATCAAAAATAGTAAAAGAACCAGCGATGCTAAGTGTGGTCAGGTCGTTATCGTATAAATTAATCATTAGGGGCCCCGAAACTGAACCTTGAGGTACTCCTATTCTATATTTGATGTTGTTTACGCGGAATCATTTATTATCATTTCCATGATGGCTGAGCTTCCGCAGCACTATTCCGTGATCTACACAGTCAAATGCTTCTGTTAAATCACGAAATACTGCCATCGTTGCGTCACCAGTGTTGCTGTTAACTTAACCAGTACCTCTATGGAGTTAGTTATCCACTTCAGACGTTGTTTTGTTTTCAATGTTACTGATGGGTTTGCAGTTTGTAACTTCGCTAATTTTGATGTCATATAACTTAAATAATTCGTTAATGTTTTCTGTAGAAGAAACCGTAGGGTCATCTGAATTATTGATTTTTCTGGTTTGATTTTCAGCGATGGAACAAAAATAATTATGTATTGAATCAGGTGATATTAAAGTCTTCATGAAACCAGTCAATTCGTTCGCTATTTTATAAGTTTCTGATATTCTATTATGAGACTCCTTCATTCTATCATCATAATACCAACCTTTGTTTTGTTTTCTCTGAGCATTCGGTGAATTCTTTAACATATATTTGTTTTACTGAATTTCAAATGAGTCTTTGACAATATGTTTTCTGATATAGTGGAGAGTGAAGATTCGTAAAGCTGCAAAAATCTACGGTTCTTTGTTTTTTATTTTGATATTTTCTATTGGGAAGGCTGTTTAAAAAAACTCACATATTTTATTGTTGAACGTTTCAAATGGTTGAAGACATGAAAATTGGTACAAATGTTATAAACCTTGCAAAGTTCATTTGACTGTATAATTTTTCGAATTTTACTTTTATGTTATCGCATCATGATCAGATAGTCTACTTGATATAACAGAGCACGATACATTATACTAATGAATGTACTAGTAATATATTTAGGTGAACTTTCTTTCCATATGTGTGCCTATATTAATAATTTGTAAACTTTTAATGTTACAGGTGTTTCCTTATGGGCAGTGGGATTAACAGGCCTGTTCTCCTGTGATACTCCTCTCTTGGACATGCTGCTTTTCGGATCTCTAATTTCCGCGGTGGACCCAGTGGCTGTGTTAGCACTATTCGAAGAAATTCAAGTTAATGAGATTCTGTATATAGTGGTGTTCGGGGAGTCTTTGCTCAATGACGCTGTGACCGTCGTTTTGTACCATCTGTTCGAATCCTACACCGACATGGGCCTCGAAAATATATTGTATATAGATGTGGTGTCAGGATTCTTGAACTTCTGGGTGGTGGCCGTTGGTGGTACTATTATCGGAGTGATTTGGGGCCTCGGAACTGCTTTGGTGACCAAGTATACGAATGAGGTGCGCGTCATTGAACCCATTTCCATATTTGTGATGGCCTATTTAGCTTACCTCAACGCAGAGATCTTCCACATGTCAGGTATTTTGGCGTAAGTATTGTTGCACATGAAAAACGATATGCTGTTACTTGTGAATAATCGATAGAGCGTAATATATGATCACGGATCAGATAGACATGTTCGTGCGAACGAACAAAATAACTTCAAACATTGAAAAAAAAATTGCAAGAAACTTATAGGAAGGAAGAAAGAATTCAAAATGATTAGGTGCTCTGATATGCCATTGATATTATCAATTTTCGGCTAATTTTCATGTTAACTTATCATTAGATGGAGTATCCATGTACCCGTAACTGATGAAGCTATCGTGCAGCGAAACGCGTTTTATATTTTTCATAAAAGATACTACAGAATAGTTCATTGTACCTACAGTACACACTCGTGAAGGTTTCCGTGGGATACTGTTTTTCGACTTGAAGTAGACTTTTTCTGAAAATAATATTTGAAATCGTTTAACGTTTGATGATGAATGCCGCATTCTTTCTCTACGCCAAAAAAAATGCGTGGGACAGTAATTTTCATCACCTCAAGAAGCTGTTGAAGCCATACAGTATCATGTTTTTCAGATTTAATTCACAGCGGAAAAAACATAACTTTCCAGCTTTTTGTTAAATCCCATTAAATTTTGATATACTCCCAGAAAGATACATTTAAGTGTATGATTCAATAATAGGAGAATTTTGTGTTACATTTATATGGAGTTGAATCATAAATATATAAACTATTAATCAGAGTTCTACCGTTTCATTTGTATTTCACAAAAATTGTTTTTCTCGGACCATATTTCTATTGGATAGCCACCAAAAATTTTTGATTTTATGAACGCACACTTATACTCGAGCTTCTTTCCATACCGTCAATATTGAAGTTTTTGTCAGTTGCAATCAATTGAAATGGAAATGAGAGGAAAAATTATTTTTATCTCATCGTCCAATTATACATTTCTTCTTCATATAGAATTTCTCAAATAAATAAGTTTGCCATAATCATTTTCATTTTCTTGAGCAATTTTTCATTTGTAACTTTATAAACGCTTATTTATACTCGAGCTTCATTCCATACTGTCAGTATTAAGGTTTTTGTCAGTTGAAATGAATTGAAATGCGAGGAAAAATTTTATTTCATCTTATCATCCAATTGTACATTTCTTTTCATATAGAATTTCTTGAATAAAAAAGTCTTGTGAATCTAACGCTAAATTCATTTCAGAAGTTGAATTTTCAATGTGTTTCATCACCTAAAAATTTGGAGTTCTATCACATTGCCATTCCATTTAGTAGAAAATTGTGTCAAAAACACATGAGTATTCAAGAAAATGAATATTTTGAAATGAAATTTTGAAACATTCATCTCTCCCAATGTTACAACAAAGTAGGCTCTGGTAAATGTCTGTCAGAAAACAACTACTTCCCCAGCTAATACCACGTTGGACATTGTTTTTGACAGACATTTATAAAAGATACCTCACAGAAGTTAGTCTTGCAGATGTTTCTTGTTCATCCACCAGCAAGCTGAGCAGCATGTTTTCCTCCTCGATACAATCTTCAAAGAGAACAGATACATGGAATGTTTCTTCCCCGTTTAGGGCCCTGTTCACAAGATGGGGATATTACTAGCTAGATTTCAGATGAAGGTTTCATATATGCAGTCGAGCCGCGTTGAAATTAATCGAATCCCAGGCGCACTGCTGTTTGATCGGATCTTTCCTGCATTAATGGGAGGTAACAACTCGAAACCGATCTGTAGGTGATCTATTCGACTGATTTCAGCATGGTCCTGCTGCTGAATTGACGAGAAACTTCTGCAAGACTAAAGTCTATGAGGTATCTTCCATAGGTAAATAAATGTATGTCGGATATAATCAGTTGAAATTAATTAAATATGAATGGATGAAAGTGAAGATACTAGTTGTTAACTGTTTATACTCTAATACATTTTAGCACAAGAAAAGCAGAAAAGTGTCACTTTGAATGTCATTGTGTCATACATGTTAATTTCAGGATAACTTTCTGTGGGATTACTATGAAGAACTATGTAGAGGCCAACATATCCAACAAATCCCATACAACCATTAAGTACGCCATGAAAATGCTTAGCAGTTCATCGGAAACAATAATCTTTATGTTTCTGGGTGTAGCTACCGTGAACAATAACTACGACTGGAATACATGGTTTGTTCTGCTCACGATTATATTCTGCTCATTTTATAGAGTTGTAGGTAAGTATGAAAATTGATAGGAAGTAAAACGAAACTTTTTCCATTTTCAACAAGAAATATAATTATAATTACTCAACTAGAAACCACCCATTTTTGAACTGGTAAACGATCACATATTCGTGTTGAAGATCTATAAAAATAGAATAAAAAATAAAAATTTTTTGGAATTTCAAAATATTTGGTATACAAGGTCATTCAACACATATGAGACAATTAATTCAGACCAGTTGCCTCTGATAACTGCAAAACCTGCAGATTTTTTCTCATATATTTGAATTGTCCTTTATTTTTTCTGGTCAATTGGTCAATTTTTTGTCAAAGTTGCAAAATCTCATGTATTGGGAATGCATTGTTTTTATGTCTCTCACTCCTTTAATTTTTTCCACTGGAAAATGTAGATATTTAGTTTGAAGAGGAATAGAACAGGATCTAAAATAAAACAAAATATGCTTATTTTTCAAAAAATGATGAGTTGAATGCGAGTTAATGATTTTGCACTAAAATAGAGAAACCAGAAAGACTATCCCCAAAGAATAGACATTCTGGAGGCCCCTTAATTTTTTTAAATCATGTTTTGAATGCATTCGGTTGAACAAAGTTCTGGAAAACTTTAAGTATAAAACTAATGTCAAGAAAGTCAGTGACAAAATCAAATGCCAGTTATATTTACTATAAATGAAAAATCTCATGTAGTGTGACTTCATTAGTGTTATCATTTGGGTTGTGTATTTTTTTCGAAGGACTATCATATTTCACAAAGCTTTTTCAATTGGTTCACAATAAAGTACTTATTTGACATATCACGCCACCTGTCTTTTTATCAAACATAACACGGCTTGTATATTTAATTTTGATCACCTTCATTTGTGTTATTCTTCTAGGTGTTATAATATTCACAGCAATAGCCAATCGTTTTCGACTTCACCAGCTGAGTACGGTCGAAAAATTCGTCATGTCTTACGGAGGTCTCAGAGGAGCCGTAGCATTTGCGCTTGTTCTGCTGATAGATCCCAAAGTCGTAAAACTTCAGCCCATGTTCGTGACGACAACAATAGTTGTGGTGTACTTCACGGTCTTCGTTCAAGGAATATCCATAAAGCCCTTGGTGAAATTTCTCAATGTGAAAACTGCCGAGAAGAGAAAACCGACGATGAACGAAAGGATACATGAAAGGGTTAGTATTGATACATTCGCATCTCAATGGCAGAACTGATAAAATTTGTTAAAAACCTGATGATATATTTTCAATTGTTTTTGTGCCAATTCTAATTTTATAAAGAACAGTTTGAGAATGGGTATCAAAGAAGTACAAGGCAAACCATCAACTCAGCTGTTTTTAAGATGTTAGGAAAATTATTGAAACTATTAAAGTTTTTACAGAATCGAATAAGGTTTCTGCAAGGCTATCTGTATAAAGAGGTTGCTATATTAGATCCAATTACAAATATTGATATCAAACTGGATGGAAATGAAAACTATGGAAATACTTTCGATGTTGTCACCACTACTTTTTTTCAGAGGACTCATATGCTATTGATGTAAGGGGAAATATTCATTTTTGGTTCAAAAATCATTCAATTGTTAAAATTCAAAAAGTTCAAATTCGAAATATTAGAAGTTTTTCATCGAACATCACTCAGGGTGTTTCACAAGGATTCATTCTAGATCATGTATTGTATTTGAATTATATAAATTTATTTTCCATTATGAAGGTTTTTCAAAACTGTATTCAGCAGAACAACAAAAAAAAATAATTATATTGAATTTTTTATTAAGCACGACAAAATGACGATGAATTTCGAAAAATTATCTTTCATTTTCATATCAAAAACAAAAGTTAAATAAAATATGAATCCAATTACATTTGATAATAATCTAAAAGATAAAAATGTGATTTGTAAGGATTATATTGATTGAATCAGAAAAAATTCTCCATTGAATAGAATATTTTATACTTTTATTTTACCGAGATATTTGGAATACATTCATTTCTCGTTAATCTTCTCAAAATTACATGTTTTGATTGGTTTTCCGTACTTCTCTTGACGAGTCAACTAAAACTGACTCTCATATCTGCTATGTCATTTATAGTGCTGATTTGGATGACATGGCTTCGTTTTGGCGCCTTTCAATGCTGTGCGCTAGATCTTTGGTAGATATATTCTCTCTCCTTTTTGTTAAAATTCTCTTGGTGTTTCTTTATTTCTATGGCTTCCAAATACATATTGTTGAATAATGATTCGACGTTGGTAGCCTCTCGGTATTTTCGAAGAGGATATTGTGTTCTCCGTCGGAAAATGAATGTCCAGCGACAACAAGCTTCTCGGTATATCTCAGTCGGCAACTCCGTTTGTGCTTGACTAGGCGGGTACCATTTCTTCTTTTTGTCTGACCGAAATAAACTTTACCACAGTTACCTGGAATCCTGTAGACTCCCAATGATTTGAGTGGATCTCTGCTGTCTTTTGCTGATCTCAGATACTTCGATATTGTCCTCGTTGGTTTGAAGACGGTGTTAATTTCTCCTTCTTCAGAAATTTCCCGATTCGATTGGTGACACCTTCTTTGTATGGCAGATAGACAGTGCCTTGGGGTTGCTCCTCACTGGTGTTCCTCTTCTTCTTCCTTAGACGCGTGGCGCAAATTATGTCTTCTCTGTCGTAGCCGTTCGCTAGTAAAACATTTGTTAGATGTGTCATTTCGTCGTTGACGTACCTTTCTTCACATATTCTCAAAGCTCTGTTGACTAAGGTGTTGATGATGGTTCGTTTCTGTTTTGGGTGTTGGTTGGATCCATTATGTAGGTATTGATCTAAGTGTGTTTTTTCCTGTTCAATTTATGGCCTAGTTGATTACCTCCCTCGATGACTATAAATAGGATTTGGAGGTTTTCTTCTAATTATATGGTGAACTGGATTTTTGGATAAAAGCTACTCGGATGATTCAGGAAGTTCTGAAGTTCTTCTTTTCCATGGCTCCGAACAACGAACGTGTCATGGAGTAAAAGCCATGGAAAAGAAGAACTTCAGAACTGAATAGTTTTCATCCAAAAATCCAGTTCACCACGGAATTAGAAGAAAACCTCCAAATCCCATTTCTTGATGTTTTAGTCATCAAAAAAGGTAATCATTTAGGCCATAAGGTGCCCAACGGAGAACACAAGATACTTTTCGAAAATTTCGAGAGGCTAGCAACGTCGAATCATCTTTCAACAAGAATGTATTTGGAAGCAATAGAAATACACAAACACCAAGAGAACTTCAACAGGATGGAAGAGAGAACATATCTACCAAATATCTGGCACACCGCGCGAACCCGCCAGTACAAAAAGTGCTTGAAAAATCAGCACTATAAATGACAAAGCAGAAATGAGAGTTTCAGTTGACACGTCAAGACGAGTATTTCGACCATGCCATTGAAGATGACTACGCAGTTGCAGTTGGAAAGTTTGGAGATTGTAATCAAAGGAGACCACGGCAAAACCCGGAAATCAAAGAAAACATTGACGCCAGCCGTGAAAGCCTACATTCCTACAAAATGACATGATTTGATTTCTGTTTGAGGATCGGCTTGAGTGAATTATTTGAAACCATTAAACATATTACAAAACAAAGTCATAAATTGTATGCTCAAATTATCATTTCTGAAGCAACTGCCACTTTATACCACCCAAATAATATTTCGGACATAGAAAGGCTTTATAACTTGAATATATATGTAACTTCATACATCAGTAAAATCAAAAACAAAATATCTCAATAGAATTATTTCTCGAAGAAACATCCTTTACTATAGAACAAGACGATATAAAATTTTTTTCCGCTATCAGATCACGTTCGAATTTTGGGAAAAAGTCCATATTACGTGAAGGTATTGATATCTACAATTGTTTGGCAGGTGACAAATCTATCCAAATTCAAATATAAAGTCAAACAATTTCTCTTGAAACAATAGTCAAATAGTAAACAAAGATGTATCCGAATCGGTGAGCCTTTCTTTATTTTCTTTTCTTGCTTCTTCCTTGGGTATTTGTTTATGGTATCATACGTTTAATGAACTCACCGTGAGTGCAAGCCTATTATGAAATTGAAAATTTGCGCCATTTTCGAGAATTAAAAAAAAATTATTTCAGTTTTTATCATACACTACACGACAGCTGAACCAATTTATGACATTCATGAATAATCTCAATAGCAACATTCAGTTCACACCCGAAACAGGGATCGAGAAACAGATGAATTTCTTTGACCTGACCATTACACACAATCAGAATAAATTTGAGTTCAATGTTTTCACAAAACCTAGCTATACAGACATTACCAGCGATTCTTTCCATCCTGACAGTCATGAATTAGCTGCCTACAATTCAATGTTGCACAGAGCATTCTCACTGCCTTGTCTGCTAACAATCTAGCTAGGGAAATTAATATAATTACACAGATAGGTCACAATAACTGTTTCAACGCAGATACTATACAGAAGTTAGTCAGAAAACAAAGCCGTAAATTCATGTACAGATTGATATACCCTCAGGTCAAACAACCAGAAATCAGGAAATGGATAACTTTTACATATTTTGGAAAAAGAACAGTGATAATTGCGTGTTTCTTCAGAAAAAGCTATGTGGAAGTGGCATTCAGACCACATGCCAGGTTATCTTCTGATTTCCTTTTCAATGCCAAAGATAAGGTGGACAAGTTGGAGAAATCTGGAGTTTATAAGCTTGAGTGTTCGGAATGTAATAGTGTTTATGTAGGACAATGTGGTCGAAATTTCCAAAAACGGTATGCTGAACATGAAAGGTCCTTCAGACTGGAAAAAAATGATTCGAAGTTTTCAAACCATTCTATGGCATACAACCAAAAGTTCCCGAATCTAAACGATACGGAACTTTTACATTATGCAAAAAGGGTTACAAATTCAATTATTTAGAATACTTGGAAATTCACAAGCATAAACATTGTAGGTGCAACCTGTTAAATGATCAAATCAATTCAGTTCACTCACCGGTTTTCAAATCAGCATATCCGCATTGTAAATTGTAAATTCAGGTACTCAATCAAGCCAAGTATCTCTATAATCACCTACAGGGGTGCTATATCAGGGCTAATGTAATAAACAATTGTTAGTTTAATGTATAAGTTTGAGCATGTCCTTATAGGACGAAACTGCAGTAACGTTAGTTACAAAAAAAAGTGGTAAAAAACATAGAAAGTTTCAATTCTCTTTTTTTCATTTTCTACATACTGCATTGAATCATACAAGGTGTTCCTTAAACACATGCTAATATTTAAGGAGGTAATTCTTAGACCCAATTTAAGTTAAAAACGTCCTATGGACGTATGTCCTAAACGCCTTAACTTTTGAGATACAGGGTGGCAAAGTTTTCAAAAATAATCAGTTTTGTAATAATAACTGAGATAATTTTGTAGACATCTTTGGCATATTTGGTACATATGTTCCATGCCTCAAGGCGCATTTTCTGATGTAAAATTTCCTTAATTTTCTCTGCCAGTGGCGTACGTACGAGTTTTGAAATGTATATTTTTGGCGAAAAAAATACTACGCCACTGCTTTATCTTGAATTGAAAATTATTTTT